TACGATATTGATTTGCGTTTGCTGACGCTTGTCGTGTACGGAAATACCATATTCGCGATTTGATGTCCACTTCTTAAAAATAAGTTATTGATGAACCTTAGGATTAACCATCCATCGATAACGTTTACGTAACATTGATAAGAAAGTCTCCACGGAAATTAAAATTGACTTTAATTGACCATAATTAGAATTAGTACACAGTTATATACAGTTCGAGATTCATCGAAATCCAAGATAACCAAAGACTGCTGCTTCTAAGTCGCCCCACGGGTGCAAAGATTGATTCTCATTGTCAGTTTAGGGAAGACTAGTATCAAAACATGGATGATTTTTCAAATAGTTATACAGTTGACACACGGTGTATCATTTTACAAAGAGAACAGTTAATTTAAATACCTCGCCGGATTGCAATTATATATGAGAAACAAAAATGCAGGAAGTAACTACAATGTTGAGATGTACTGAAAACATTTTAGTCAAAACTTTATAATGTACGTTCAAGCCAACAAAAAATGGATATCTGTTTTGTTACTTTCGCTACCGGTATTCCCTGATAGGAAAAATAGCGCGCGAAGAAAATTTTAAGTGCCAATACCGACAAAACAATAGGAATTTATGCTGCTCATCGCGATAAAATACAATAACTGCTCAGCGATAAAGAATTTATCTGCGATACTCTCGGTATACTACTAGGTATCAAGAAGGCGGAAGATCACTATCAGGAACACCATAAAATCGTACGTGTGCCGTAATGTGACGTTTATAGGAAGAATATTACCTTCGAAGAGCGACGCTTCTGCTAAATATATCTTGTCTTAAAGTTCCCGGAGTAATAGCTTCCTGACCCAAATCTAGACGAGATCAGGAATCTGCTAGAGACAGGCAATTCAGATGTTAGCATCGCGATATCGACGTGTTAAATTCCATTGAACGCGGTCCCTTGATCGGTAAAGGTTAATTAAATACCGCGACGTGAACTTCCGTGAAACAACAATCTATTAAACATTGAAAGATATATACATTAATCTCGCTCGCCAACCCACTTGTAGATCTGACTTAAGATGGAAGTTTTACTCGAAATGATACATTCAATAATACATTCAATTCAGAGCGAAATGGAAAATGTGTTTACTTAACTTTATCGGACTTTTCGACGTCATGCTTACATACTTTTCGGTGAAATATTGTGAGATAATTATAAACACGGTCCAGAATGTTAAAGATAATCAGAAAGCAACAGGAAATTGTTTCGTAGAAAGTAATTGAAAAATAAATGATTAGCATACTTTTTTAAACATCTGGACATAATAAGTTAGTTCTTAACTCAACTATTCTAATAATAGTAAGCTTTACTTTCTCTTCTTTAAATTAATATAATTGCTTTTTATTTATTTTTATTCACTTATATTCTGCAATTTATATAATTGAATATAAATAGTTTCTATAGTATACACAATGATTGTAGAATTATATTTCCTAGAACATTTTTCTAATATTTTTCTAATTATTCCCATTTACTGCTTATTTTCGTTGTCTCGCAACCCTCATCCCCGACTTTATCTGAAAAATAAATAAGTAATCTCAAATGAAATAAAATAACGTAGCCTCCAGTTTAAATTTATTATAAACAGTTTCTATAGCATATGCAATGATTATAGAATTATTTTATCTAGAACATTGTTCCAAGTTTGTTATTCCAGTTTACTTCTTATTTTCGTTGTCTCGCAACCCTTATCCTCGACTTTATCTGAAAAATAAATAAGTAATCTCAAATGAAATAAAATAACGTAACCTCCAGTTTAAATTATAAAATTTGGTATATGTAATTATTGGAACCTATAAACATTGGTTCCTATTTTCTTGTTTCATTTTCCACGTTTTCTCGAATCGTCCTTAACTTTTACCTTTTCAACTACTTCACCCTCTAATATCGTTTCCTCGTCCCTTCCCAATTCTTGGCAATCTCCTATCAAATACTCCAACGTATTTATTTCTGATCTCTAGAATTTCCACTCCCCATCCTCTTCTCTCAATCAATATTTGCTTCCCTCTTCTGGATTTCCGCAGCTCACTCTTGTTAAGAAGGTTTAGATTGTCCTATCTTTCCTGCTTAATTAAATACCGCGTACCAACGTATAATAACAACGTTCTACATAAGAACGAAGATAGTACACATAGGAGTCTCATTAGAAGTTTGACCAAGCCACCACGTAAGAAACGAAGAAACCATAAACTTATAACCAACTGTACAATGAAACTTCTCTGATGATATCGAAGGTTAAATACATTTCAGAGATTATATTTATTTGTAAGTCACAGATAAATCAATTTGGTTTTTGAAATCCAATTTATTCACAGTTACGTTGTTTTAGAACTTATAATAATAAGATTGTAGAAATTATTTGAGCAAAATCTAGTTAAATAAGTAAATAAAGCTGAATATTTTACCTTTTCATTTTAATTATTAATCCATTCATGAGAATCCATTTACTTTGCATAGATATAAATTTTTTTTAAATGTTCAACTTAAAAATTTGTTTGAAATTCTTTTTCATTCCAATATAGACTTCTGCTCGAAAAAAAATGATCATTTGTGTAATTATTTGTTTTATTAACTTAATTAAACTTGCAAAAAAGGAATAATTTTATCTTTCGTACAGAAAGAAATAATTGAAGATTTCACCTGTATAGCTGATAGAATAAAATGAAGAAAATGTATTTCATAATTTCTCACTGGAACAATTAATTTAAATATTTTGCGTAGTAATTTGCGTAAGTCTGCGCGAAACGTTTCTTTCGCCCAAATAAGGTATCCATTTCGCAACGTATTAACGTCGATCGCTTCATTGTTCCACCAGCGTATTTGTTTTGCTGTAAAATATCAATCACCATTCGCTTCGATACGCTTCAGTTCACTCTAATGCAGTCGCCTCTTCAAATAACATGCACAATTCTCTCGCACAATGTTAACACGATTTTTTGTGCACTGAAATTGTAGCACGACTACGTTCAGTAATTGACACACATCGAAGCAAAGATAATTCTGTAATAATTATTGCACAGCGAACACTGATGCTTTCACGTTAAAATAGCAAGCGCCGGAGGGCAGAACGCTTAAAGCACCTAGAATCGCTTACGAATTTGTTTAATAGTGAACGAATCAGTTCTGATGTAAAATAGGATAGATCACGTTTTGCGTTATTACTGTAATGCGAATTTTATGGATATATGACTCAAAGTAATAGAGTAAATACACGCTAAAGATAATCAAATAAAATAGAAAGAAAATAAAAATATTATTATATTAACTGTAGAATATGTTCAATATATATTATGTATATTTTTTGTATGTTTTTAATATTACTGTAAGTCATAAATGCGTAAAATCCGCTGTCTAGTTATTTCTAATGTTTCCATACGAATTACGATATAAATTAATTGAAGTAATACAGTAATTGAAGTAAATTCATATTTATAAAAATTCTGTAATGAAAAAATGGTAAATAATAGTCGGTGACGAGCAGTGAGAAATGTTGCAGTTTGTTGAAACTATAATTTGTGTCAAAACATTACATGAATTTCTTAGATACTAATTTCTTCGTCTGTTATTGATCTTGAAGTACACATTACAAGCTAATATACCCAGTTATAAATTTATGTACGACATAAATTCAGATATCTATTTATATTGAAACTAACTATGAGCTATGCTCGAAATAGATACCTACAATAATGTAAATTCGATAACGCTAAGTTAAACATTTGCTTGTTCCCGTGACAGTTTTAATTTTTGTTGCATTTTTCACTGACGCTCTTATTTCTGTAAACTATAAGTAAATTACAACACAACTGTTGACGTGCAAATGAAATTGCAAGTGTAATTGACATTTGTATAATTTGAAATAGCACATGTAGCTGCAACCATCCGTGAACGAAATATTATTCGAATAATAGATAACAAATAAGATCGCCCTGACGCATTTTATTCATAATCTTCAGTGCATCGAATATGATTAATTTGAATAATCAAAATTTTATTTCATCTTTGGTTGTAACTACATCACTGCAAAATCTCACAACGAGACAGGTTGAAATATCAACTTAATATAGGTATTAAATCACGAATTATCTTAAAGGTCTACAAAGATAAAATTCTTAAATAACAAGAATTCGTGTACATTACAATTTTTTGGTTGAAAATTAATACGTCATGAAAACCTTAGCATTATCCTATTGTTTCCGAAACATACTCACCAGAAATAGCGTTTATTTGCTCATCACAAAATATTAAGAAAAAAAAAGCCATGAGTAAAGTTTCAACGTGTAAATAATTGATCAATGTACACGTTTTAGAAATTCTAATTTTTATTAAGTAATGAAGACATTTCGAAGTTTACCATTTTCTTTCTCATGTAATAATTCTTTTGCAGTAAATACAATAATAATTATTCTGTATACCTTAAATGACCAAATACAACTTTCATATTCCGATAACAAATAAATTCACGAAAAAATATACATATGTATAAAGGAAATAATATTTGCTCACATTAATTTCTGTATAAAGTGATAATTGAGGGGTGTGCTGCAATAAGGAGGTAGCTCCATTTTTTTATGGTCTGGAGGTTAGAATATAATTACGGATTTAAACATTCCTTTTTTTTTGTGATGCAATAAGGAGGAAAATTTGAAAAAATGGAGCTGCTTCCTTATTCATGCATACCCCTAAATTTTATGTTAGCTATAAGAATTCCTTCGTCTAGAGTTGCTAGTTAAAAGAAGTGAAATTCGACAAAGATTATCATAGTCTCAAGACAGTCTTCTGCTTTTAAAAAACCAGTGTAACTTCGTTCTATTTTTGGTGGGTACCAAAGTTCATTGTCGTTGTCTGTTTTGTCGGAAATCACGCTTGAAAAATAAAAGTCGCATTCAAAGGCAACTTCCCTTCGACTCCGAGCTGTAGGTAAGAAGATCTAAAATTGCGTTGCTACAATTTCCAGCATCTGCACTGGTCGAACCATCACGTGGACTCGTTGGATAGCGGGGGAGGTTTGGGGTGGCCGAGAACCTCGAGGCCGCGGGTGAACAGCGCCATCGACGTAGCCGGCTTCCTATCCCAGGTACGTAATCGTGTAAGACGAGAAAGCTATAACTCGACCAATTTTGTCGTAGCACTGGCCGTATTAACCGTTCCAGTGATCCGAGTCCTTGAAACTTTCGATCGAAGCCCCGGCTTCGTATCAACCTTCCCGTCAATTCGTAGTCACGACAATAGGAAAAGCAACCGGTCGTTTGGATAGTCGTAAAAATTCGAACGCGTCACGTAATTGAGATCGATCGTTTCGAAAATAAAAAACCTACGATCGATTTCCTTAGAAATTCTTTTTCAGAATAAACAGCATAATTTACGGAGAATGTCTGACACGAGGATGAAGAAAATTCTTGTCTTGGTAGAAAGTTTCGAAAGACGAATGAAAGATATACCCAAAATTCATTTCCTTATAATTGACAAAAAAGAGGAAAACGTAATTTATAGGGAATTTCTGGCACGAGAATGAAGGAAATTCGTATCTATGTACGAAGTTTCGAAAGACGAATTAAAGATGAACTTAACATCCATTTCCTTCAACAATTTTTTTTCAAAAATTTGCATAACTGATATAGGTTTTGGCACAGAGAAAATTCTTGTTTGGATAAAAGTTTCGAATGACAAATTGGAGATAAAATACAAGTTCTGTCTTGTTATTTATTCAATAGAAATTGCAATTGTAAAAACTGTCGAATTATATTTTCATTCGATCGAATTTTGTCTACAGGTAGTCTTATGTTCCACTTTTTTCTGGTATTGTGGACGTGCTATGATTGCAAGAAAATGAGAAACGAGTGTAACAAAGTTTTGCTGGTACTTAAGTACAAATTTGCATACTCACTCGATGGATCTATAATTTGAAATACACGTTATTGTAATGATTTGTATAAATTACACATTTACAGGTTTCCGTACGATCCGCTAGCATATTCGACTCATCACAAAAGCTGTTCAATTTTCATTTGCAAATGTGGAATTCATTTTTATAGAAACAGGAATTTATTTAAGTAAAAGTACATTTAAATGGACCTAACAAAAATTAATATAAATAATATTAAAGATTAATGCAAATAATAATAAGAAAAAAACATGCTACAATTTATTTTTAAAAAATATAACAAATATTTATAATATCTACGTACGATACAAGCCTTTCAAATTTCACTGAAGTGATTGCTGTAAAGTATAAAAATTTCCAAATGTTCACTTCATCGATTGCTCGCGTGCGATGGCTCTTAAGGTTATCGATCCCTCGAAGACGATGAAAATTAATTCTAATTTTTTTTCGTAGCCTGTACAAGCGAAATCATTTGTTAGCGTGAAACAAAATTTCGAAGACGTCAATCTTCGACACTTTGAATGGATATTTAAATAAATAACGAACATGAAAGAGACCGTGCAAAATTTATACGTTAAACGTTAAAGTTCAAGGTAGTCGGAGGTGAAGTGTAGTTTACAGACTGATCAATAAGCTCGTAGTTTACTTGTACGGAAGTCGTTGAATTCATTTTCTTGTAGCATGGACCGCAGTCGGTAATCACGTTGCGAAGTCATTTTTGACGTCATTTTGCGAGGTCTACTTGTTGCATGTGTGCCTATTAAGGAGATAGCTTGAAGAAAAAAGAAAGAATAAAAGAAGGAAAGAGAAGAATGTTTTTCTTTTCACATTTTCTTAAAGTCTCACGTCTCCAAAATGTCATATTTAAATGACTATAATATAATTTGAAGAATAAGTAATATTTCAGGACTTTGAATCGACTTCTGGCATTTATTTAGAATCTCAAGTTTCAAAAACATTTTATTAAACAAATTATGGTGATGTTGTCGATATTAGTAATATTATAAGACTTTCAACTGACTCTTTGTGTGCTCTAGTACTTTATGACAAGCCTTAAGGGACCAGCCTGATTTATATGTAAACAAATCAATTGTTCTTATGTTTTCTTAAAGCTATACTTTAACTCTTTGTGGCATGCGATTATAAAAAAAAAAAAAAAATAAGATTCAAGCTACACAGAAATGCAATGTCAACAACTTGCTAACGGGTTTTGACTTGTATACATTTCTGATGTCACTTATTGTACTTTCAGCGTTAGTTCATAATATTGTCACATTGATGAAAAACTTTAAATAAAATAGTAAAGCTAAGCAAAAGTTAGGATAGTTTTTAACTCGCCTAACTTTAAAGAGTTAAGGTGAAGAATAAGTATTTGATAGAGTTACATGTTCCTCTTTTAAATATAAATTCGAAAAGTCACCTTACTTTTAGTCCGTCAACCTGGTAACTCCTTAAGTTGTAACGGAAGTTGAAGGGCTGCAAGTAGGATTATAAATGGAAGATGAATTTTCGAACTTCCTTAAGAGATTGCACGAAGTTCCAGGTGTAAAATATTCATGGTTCTTCAAAAATGCATTTCAATTGAACTCCGTATACGTTTAGTCTAGTACTCGATAAATATACATTATTTATAGCGTATACAAATATTTTTATTTCTTCTACAAGTTGATTCCAAAGAGATTCGATTAATGTCCATTTATGATTATTATTATTATAAATGAACATACGTCTTTTTCAACAGGAAAGCGAGAAACATAAAGCATAAAGACATTTCTGAAGCAAAAACCAAAATACAATGCAGTAAATTTGTATAAAAATTAAAAATCTCAGTGAAACTTTTAAATGCAGACATTTCTGTATAAAACAAAATTAATTGTACTTACTTTTTTACTAATATCGAATTATGAAATATGTGTACTGTATGAATAACTACATATTGAGTATTAGTTACACCTATGACATTTCTATATTTAATATCTTTTGCCAACATTATTCTTATGATAGTATAACAATGTGGATATGAAAGAATTGGCTTTCCAAACAAACAGAATTGAATTACTTGCGATTTTAATAGCATTTAATAAGTAAACTTAATGAAGTTAGTAAAGTAGAGTAATATATAGACTTATCTGTTAATTATTTGAAAATTTTCTATCAAAAAGAAAAATTTATCCTAAACCTAATTCCCATCCCAATTAAATTCTAATGTCCATTCTTTCTATTGTTTCGTTTTTGTTTTAAGGAATTTTTACGGCGTCATGGTTCAACGTCAAAACTGTGCCGGAAGGTTCGCAGTGCAGATAACTTGCCACTGGCGTCGACGAATCGACAAGATCAACGTATTTCTAAAGAGGAAGGCATCGATGGCGATAAAGAGTCCTTCCTGAAACCAACACAAGAAGAGAAATACGAGGATCTTGAGTCGAAGAAGCAGACTTGCCCCGAGAGTGGTTCGAAGGATACCCCAGAGATCTCGTTGCTCGATCCGAATAATCAACAACAGTCTTCAAGGTAATCCCTTCTAGAGCAAATTCATTTCTCTAATCTTCTAAGCCCTCGGAGAACAGTTTAACTAAGATGTTCCAATGCTATTTGGTCAAATGAGGAAAATTATATTTTCTGTTAAGATAATACAATATCTTGAACAGCAATTGTTTTCATATGAACTGATATTTTTTAAAAGCAAAACAGAATACAGTAAATTAGTATAAGAATTGAAAATCTCAGTGAAACTTTTATATTTATAATAAAGCATTACGGTTAGAACGTTCTTATTTATTTGCTATGTCTTGGTTCCTCTTTTTTATAATAATTTTAAAGTATAATTTTACTCGAGTGATATTAAGCTAAAGAAAACCCGTTGCAAGCTTCTTTAAATCAAGAACATTGCTTGTAAAATTATATTCGTCGATAGAAATTTGTCAATTCATTTATAATTCATATTTTTCTGTTCAGTGATTCCTTTACAAATAATTCATATACATATTTTTGCTTTTTATTACAGACTATCTAGATCTGTTTTGTTCCGATGATAGTCACAAATATATGGTCGTAAGCGTTAAATAATAAATGGCTGGCTACGACTCCATCATACGTCAATGATTTTCATACTACAAGATTCGTTCCTAATAAAAGTTGCATAACGTATGATAAATCGTTACGTCCGTAGCTCCTCTAAATCAAAGAATTCCATTTCGGTCGGAATCCTGCAGTCTAGAAATGCCAGATGCCACATTCGTTCGTTGTTTGCATCTACAAATCTTTTCACATAGTTTGGGAACATGGTTTTACCAGGATTTCGCTATTCTCGGTAATGTCTCCCAAGAGATTCGAAACCCAAAGTTCGTGTTTTCGTTATCAGCACACATTGAAACTGCAATGACCTACTCGGCGTAGTCAAATAATCTAAAATGTGTTCGAATATTTTCAACTTAACTACGGTTAACTTGATCGATTCCCTAACGCTTGTAACTCCAAATTCAATTATTCAACGAAGACTTATCAATTTGCAATGACACAGGTTACAAAGAATTAGGGCTGATTTAATTAGTTAAAAATAATAGTGATAGACATACTAAGACTTTCAAAGGTAGAAGATATGTATTTTGTCTTGAAGAAATTATTACTATAATTATAATTGCATTATATTGTAAAATGTTTCTTATTACCCTAACGCTTCTTAAAATATTACGAATTAATACATTTAACTGCAAATTCAATTTATTTGGTTTTATTAAAAATTGCAGTTTAGTTCTACTACTCTCGAAGCAATTTATAGAATACAAATTTTCATTATCTCTACATTATACATCAAATTGATATTCTTTGAATACACAGAAATAGTGAAATGTATTAAAGTATATGGTTGATGGTTTCTTCGTTCACAGAATAAAACTTGTATAATAGCATTACAGATAAGTACGTGTATTGACGCGATCATTACATAATTCCATTGTATTGTATTAGCTTTCTTACATAATTTTTATCACAGATTAACATGCTAACCTTTCAAGTGTTACGTACTGCTTGCGTGATGCATATTTAACGTATTTTGCTAGTATCATATAGGTACTTGACTTTGCAAAACTCCATGGAGCAGAACATCGTGATATTATATCATAATAAACAGGATATTATGAATTTCATTCGAATAAACCTGAAGAACTTTAAACTATTTATATTATGTTGACATGTTTATATTAAATTATAAATATTTAAACAAGGTGGTATTTAAATCTTGAATTTTTCCAATCTAACATACTTAACGCGTATCGTTCGCTTGACTAATCTAACTATAATTTCACTTTACACTTTACGCTTTACACTTTATACTCACTGTACACTCACTTTACACTTTACACTTTACACTTTACACTCACTGTACACTCACTTTACACTTTACACTTTACACTTTACACTTTACACTTTACACTTTACACTCACTGTATACTCGTTTGCACTTTATAGTTTACACTTTACATTTTACAATTTGCACTTTTTATATCTAACGATTTCATTACAAGTTCGCAGCCATTAGCTCGGTATTACTCGCGACAAAGGATCGTTCGTCGCGAATAATACCGATTACCAGGTCTCACCACGTGGAGGTTGCTGCAACTGGAGACCCGGAGATTGAAGGAATCAAAGTTCCTTCGATCTCCCTCTACATAGCGTATACATACGTAGATGCATACTCTACATAGAGTCGACGAGCTTAAAACTAAGTACGAAACTATGAAAATCAAAGGAAAACAAAATTCCCTTCGATTTCCAAAGTCCAAGTCTGACTCTGCTAAATAATTATTTCAACTAAATGGAAGCTAAATTGAGATCGCGACGCGACGCGACCATGAAACTGGACCTACTGAATCAGTCCCGTTTCCTCTTGTTGGATCTGGACTCGAGAGGAAGACGACCGACGCCTCCGAACCAGTCCTCCACACCCTGCACCCCGTTGGGAGCCACTATAGGACACGACTTGCACCCGTCTCACTGCGCTTTGGACTTACTGCACTGCGCCGCGAGCCTGGGACTACACTAAACGTGGTGCAGGAAGTAGAGAACCGATCCGGAGGAACCGATTGTCGTCCTCTCGAATACAGATCCACCAGGAGGACGGCAACCGACCTTTCTGTCCAGTTACACAGTTGATCACTACACTTATGACATGAAGTAATAGTGACCGAATTGGAGAACGAAATTGCGAGTCCAATATGGACCTACGAACAAACAAAAGATTTGAACAAATGATTAATAATTATTTGACAGAGGACAGACACTCGTACACGCATGCCTTAAGACTAACTTAGGTACATGCCTTAAAACTAACCAAATCAAACTAAACTACCCACAACCAATACCAAACCAAACTAAGCTACCCGCAAACAATACCAAGCTACGGTAACTAAGAGAAACTACACAAAGAGGGACGCGAGACGCGGACGCGCGATCGCGAGATCCATACCGACCGAAGGATCGTCGAAGAATGAGCTCTCGCCCTTCGCATATTTGTTTGGGCGCGGCCGTGCGTCGTGGCACGTTTGTACCTGTCGAAGAAGAGTGGGGCAAGGGCGAACAACAACCGTGTGACGATCGCGTCGAAGGGTCGTTGTATCTCTATCGAGAAAATAATTCGTGAAATATTTATATCACAGCGAAATCATATTCCCCATCGTTGTTTAAATAATAAGTATTATTAACAATTAATTTAACTGTTGTCAGAAATTAATATTTAGTTGGTGCAATCCAATAAATATTAAAATATTGACAAATTTCTCACGATTAATGTCTCGAACGAGTACTTATTCTGAACCGTAATTGTTATTAATATTTAATCGAACACTGTATGATACTGTGTATGTATCATAAGTGTTTAATTATTTCGGATTAAGTTTTAATTGTTCCAATCAGTAGATATTAAAATATAGACAAACATCTCACGACAAGCTGTGTAACGGGACATTTGTTCTGTTATTACCCACCCATATCATCGCCTCGCAGCATTTTTAACCATATAACGGGACATGAATTTCGGCTGTTCGAAAATAGAAAGATTTTCAATCTTAAAATGGATCAAGCAAAATTTAAGGACCCTCATTTTTCCTTTCTTTATACCCCAGTAAAGATTAGCCTCCGTGTGCCATTTAATTGCAGCAAAAATGACCGCTTCATTTTCTAAGAAAGCAGCTAGTAACATTTTATACAGGACACCCTGTATGCGTATAAATAGATCCGTAAGGTTACGTATTTTTGTAATTTTATTTTCTCTCATAATCTTCAATATTGTCTATTTGATTAACGACAACCAAATTCGAACAGTGTATTTCCAGAATATTTATTAGCTCCTCTGTTAATCTGTTCGAATATTTGTTGAAATATAATCCAGATGCGAAACGTGAACGGCTAACGCAGCACGTTTACCAATAAAACACAGTACACGTATAGATTCTTTCTCACTTGGAGAATAAATGACTTTACGTCGGCCTTTGTTTAAAAAAAGAAAGTTATTAATATTTATCCGCTTCAAATACCTTTATGCCATAAAAGTTACCTTGATTTTGATGGATCTTTTAAATATGTACAAACATCCAATCGAGCGAAGCAGCAAGCTTTTGATGCGAGACTTCCATTCTCGAGAAAATAAATTTTGAAAATTCGTCGGGTACAAATTGACGGACGTGTCTGTCCATTGAATTGCCACAAATAAAATTATTCCTGTTTGTACTGGTGTTTGTAAATATCAACAGTACAACTTGGGGAACGCGTCTGGCCATTACTTGTTATTTCTACTTGCGCTGGTGTTTGTAAACATTGACGTCGGTATATCATTACGTTTGCGTCTCCCACGTAATATAAAGACAAACTTGCTTCTCTCAAACCCTTAAAGCAGTGTTTATTAAGTTTCACCGTACCGTAGACTTCCTTAAATTATTTTTTTTTTTTTAATATTTTTTCAAATATTTCATTTTTTTTATTACTTCTTATTTTAAACTTTTTTTTATTAATAAGAAACTACCACAAAAAAACATTTGTTCATTCTACTTTATCTAGTCATTAGATATGTATATTATAAGAATAATTGGGCTTGTATACAAAAGTAAGAAACATTTTCATTTCGATTTAGAGTAACTTGTTTACGCTAGTTTAACACTTATAAACAGAACTTACAATTAGTCAGAGCTAGATATAGTAATTTGTGAAACATTGACCTGAAAACTTCACCGAAGATCGATAAGGCTATCAAGCGTACGCCTAATACCGACAGTTCAGAACCGTGGATAACTTATCAAGCTACGGTGGTTCATAGACAAACCAAGAGAGTCGAGTTCTTCTTTTGTAATTTACGAACAAAGTGCAACAATTATAGTAAATATTACTCGGTGTTTCCAAATTTATTCGAGTTCGCACCGAAGCTATATTGAATCGTGATCTATTTATATTTATCGCACAAACACCAGGCTAAGTAGAAACAGTCGATAATGATCAGACAGGCTTGCCAAATAGTAATCGCCTGCGTTCCCGACGAATTCTAGAAATCGATTTTCTCTAAAATGAGAAATTGTATCACCGAATCTTCCTTTTCCTTTTATTTTCAATTTGCTATCCACTTTATATAAAAATCAACTTTCACAACAAATTGTAATTTTTGCTTGATGGAGCTGTTAAAAGATGAGATAGATAGTTTCTATTCAAATTACGACGGTAATTGCTGATTATATCGTTGATGATATTACGCTACAGTCCACTGTACCATCCTCATTCATCACGAATGAGTATTACAGGCGACAAATGGTAAATCTCTTAAGATTTCCTCGAACAACTGAAAACATTTATTACAGAAAATTCCTCGCAATGTTCCAGGGATTTCCCAACGGCATCGTCGTCGTCGTCGTTCGTTGGTCGACGTTTTGGAGGATGGAGAGCTGGCGGAAGTCACGAATACGTTCGATGTCCTGTACGACAACCTGCTTCCATGGACGAGCGGTAAGGAAATCCTTTTACCCTTTCGTGTATAGCATCAGTAAGATAAGATGTAATCGATAATCTAGGAGAAAGGCAAACGTAGACGTAACATGGTAAACGTTAAAGAACTTGCATTTTATTAATATAAAATAATGCTGAAATACTTAAATCATATTCTTCTAAGCACATTTTCTGAATACTAAATTTCGAGTACTGTTTAGCAGAAAATTAAAAGACTCATATACAATTCTTGAAGTAGCTAGTAATAATTAATGAAGACTTATCAATTTCCAATGACACAGCTTGCAAAAAATTGGGCATGATTTAATTAGTTAAAGTTTAAGATAACAGTGATAGACATAACAAGACATCCAAGGTAAAGGATATAGATTTTGTTCTAAAGAAATTATTATCATAATTATAATTACATTATATTGTAAAATATTACTTATTACTATAATTAAATGGAAACTTCGTGGTTCGACTCATGATTATATTATAGGTTTGGTTCTTCTCCAAGATTCATCTTATATTAAGTAAATTTCAAAATCAGTAAAAGATGGTTTCTGATAATAATTATTATTAAAAAAGAGAAGAAATAAAAACAGAAATACAATAATAGAAATACATAAATAGAATAAAGCACAGGAATATATCAAAATAAAAAATATACATTGTGAATTAGGAAATCATATGTTCGCGAAAATTGTCTGTAAATTTTCTTGCGAACCATTAATGTGTTATTAGGGCCGTGACGATAAAAATTCCACGAAGAAAAAGCAAAGTTACACCAAGCGAGAAATATTCCACGATAACGGAAATATTGTGGCTACCAACTATTTATTGTCGCACATTATCTCGGAAACGATCGCAACAGTTCCCTCTAGGCTGGTAATCGCTAGTTTCATCTTCTTTCCACTTTCCAAATGAGTTTCATGCCGTTGAAATATACACATAATTACGATTCATCAGAAGTAGTTAATGGAAATGGTTACGTTATATGATCATCAATCATTGGTTTCCCATTTCTGAACATTTTTCCTATCAATTACAGTTTCTCTAACAATTTTCATTCGAAAAGTATATTAATTGAATCTCGCACGAATCGCAGGAAAGTACACTTTTGGTTGCAGTGTTATTTAATCAATTAAAGTTTCAGTCCAATTGTTGACACTATTTCGAGAAGTATGCATTTGATTGCGAGCTATCGGTCATTTTAATTCGCGTTTGAATTGGTTGAAGTTATAGGTATTCTTGAAGGAGGTCGTCAACCCTGACGAAATGTAGGTTAATTAAATAATCGTTCGCTTTACTTCCATTTATACACCGAGTATTCAGTTGAATACATTCTCGTTCTTCTTTATTCATTTTAACATTAAATATACAGTTGTATAGATTTCCGTTTCAACCTATTTCACAGTTATGTCCCATTTTAGTTTAAAAGATCGGTCCTTTTTTAAAGCGGTAAAGAAAATGGGGTTGCAGAGCATTGCGTCCGTTGCCATGTAAAAAGAACTTGTTGACCTACATGACTAATATACTGACGAGTGTCCCGCGCAACCGGGCCAGACTGTAACTTTGAAACAGTTGAAGGTTCAGCTGGAAGTCGTGTGACCAAATGAAATCGTTCAAAGTACTTCGTATTTGTCACATTAGTATTATTCGCGCGTGTCTGACATTTGCGAGATGCAATTCCGTTCTCTTTTTTTAATGATTCTCGTATGTACACGGTCTGTCTAAAAAGAAACCGAACTTTTGCTATAAAAAGAAAACAGTACAAGTAAAGTTTTTACACGCGCGTTTATTTACTCAAAATAATCTTCCTTTTGCGTCAATACAGCGTGTAGACCGTGTAATTAACATTTCGAAGGATCTTTGCAGCTCCTGTTTTGGTAGCCCGTTTAGTACGACGGTTACAGCGGCCTGAATCTCCGAAATGTTGCTCTATAAAAGTCCTTTTCGTTGGAATTGGCATTGTTACCTTGGATCATTCACCCTACTCGCTTGATCTGTCTCCCTGCGATTATTTTCTTTTCCCAAAATTGAAAATTCCAATGAAAGGGACATTATAGCAACGTTTCGGAGATTCAGGCCGCTATAACCGCCGTACTAAACGGGCTACCAAAACAGGAGCTGCAAAGATCCTTCGAAATGTTAATTACACGGTCTACACGGTGTATTGACGCAGAGGGAGATTATTTTGAGTAAATAAACGTGTGTGCAAAAAATTTACTTGTACTTTTTTTCTTTTTATAGCAAAAGTTCGGTTTCTTTTTAGACAGACCGTGTATTGTCCGTTGCTCAGGAGTTGGCGAGGCAGCTCAATTGGCTGTCGCGTAACGGCGACACATTCCCGCATTTTCGTTTACGCTATACTTTTACATATACAGATGATGAATTGACATTTAAAAAAAAATATTAGGTTGTTGCATATGAAATAACTTATAATTCGATCCCGTAGTTGTCTTCATTTTGTTACGTCATTGTGGTGACAGATGTTGCTTGTTTGTAGCACATCAATCTAAAGAATGAAATTTGATACTTTTGAAACTCTATTCGTTTGTTTATAAAACAATGTTCGCATAGCATATTCCGTATTCAACAGTCTAAGAGAACAATGAATAATAATAAATATAAAACAGATTACGTGACCTTATAAAACAGACAAACAAACAAACGTAGGTACAAGTACAACCCTGCTACGCGATAATTTAGATTTTATACATTTTTCCGTTCGTGCACATCCTCGTACATTTTCACTCGCCACAAATGCATAAACATTCGCTGACTTGTAATCACGATTTGTCTAAAAATGATATAATCGATCGTGCTACAATATTCATTGAAATTTGCAGATGTTATCGGCGATCTTACGATATAGACGCTCGTCTACCCTGTCATTTCCACTCTTATCGACGTGTCGGGATCGAACGACACTCGAAGAGCTGCGACTACGCGAGACGCACTCCTGAATCGAGCGTCGACGTCCAACATTTTGGTCTGCCCATCCTGAGCGTCAGCGAGCCCAGTCCACCGGACGAGAACGACCGCGTGGACGAGTATTTGTAGGACTTGCTTGCCGAGGACTTCCTGAAGGAGCTCCTCGTGTGACCCAGCACGATCACTCTATTGATGCGCGTGATCCAAAACGTCCTGTATACGCCAAATTTGAGGTAAACTTCGAAGCAGGACTTTGAATCGTACAGCGACAAAACCGGAGGATCATGGTTCTCGATGAAGCGACGACAATTTCGGAGCGAAATACTCGATCGAATCGCTGCGATTAGCGAGAAGTAAGTCACCGTCATACGGTGTTTTAATTCCGGAATCGATGATATTTTAATCGCGCCATCTATTCATCAAATTCACCGGTCAACATTTTTATTTTACATTGGTGCGCATGTATGAAGCATTCTCGGTTGTACGAAAACCGATTCGAAAGAGGATTTAATATACAATGGATCGGTATCGACGATACGAACCAGAGATGGGCAAGATTTCGTTCGAATAATAGATGAAGGATAAGATCAACGTACAGGTATTCACTCGTAATATTTATTCGATAGAATGGTTCAATTTTTATTGGTTCGTTGTAGTATACTTTATTCGACAATTCAATTCTTTATATTCCACGAGTAGTAAATAAAAAGTTGTTTATCGTTTACTGGATATATTTATTCGAATAAGAATTTTGCCCGTCGCTGGTGGGATCATGGGAAAGCAGTGGTGATTTATGTCAAAACAATTTTTGTTTGTTACAAATTGTTTCGCATCCTCGGTTACGCCACTGCAGGGTAGTAAAGTTCTAGATTACGTGACAGTAAATTCAAAGAGAAATTCTTTGCTGCGATACACTATCGATTGCCACTGTTAACACTTTGTCTACCGGGAGTCTATTCGTAGGCTTTTTAATTCCAATGTCTACCCGTCCGCAATTTATTAACTGTGTCGTTGGTTGTCTACTTACAATGCTCAATTTGAGGAAACAGAGAGGGATTTTAACGTACGTTATAACAGTATGCACAAGTTATTGTCAGCCTACGTTAATATACGGTGACTGTAGAAAGTATTCATACATCGATCAATTTCTTTTTTATAAACAATGATATTCTACACATTCTTGGGAATCTTTAGAATAGATTTAGTAGAAAAAAGAATTATTTATTTATATAAGTTGCGAAATTAACACGAGAAAACAATAAATCGATAGAAATATAGAAGCAATAAGTATCCGTACATTTGTATTTATTTATTTTACTGCTTCAAACCATAAATGGCTTATACACCATACAATAGTTGTGATAAATACAATTTAGTTACATCAAATTCTTATATTACAGTCTTTGAGAAAACTATTAATAATTGTTAACCCTTTAATTCGTACATTTGTTAAGTTTTTAATACTTCATGAAAGGAAACGAAATTTACATTAATTTATAAATAATTAATACTTTGTGGAATTTCCTTTTGATTTTATAATTGCTGTAACTCATCTTGACATTAAATTAACTAAGTGTCGATGTTATTCGAGGTGGGATCTTTTTCCATTCGTCTATTAGAGCATTTTTTTAAACTTCTTTATTGGAAATTTGATGTTTTCTAATTCGTACGAAGCAATAACCTGATGTGTTTATGTTACGAAATCTACTGTGAATGTTTCGTCATAAGAATCGTACAAATACTTACTGCTTCTATACTTTTACCCACTTTTCACATTTGTTTGTTAATTTCACAAACTATATTAACTAGTAAATGTTGTTCGGACTATATCTATCTTAGAGACTTTCGAGAATATATGTAAAATATCATTGATTATAAAAAAAGAAGTTAAGAAACTACAATTTCACAGAAAAGTTTGTTGGGAAATTGATCGCTGTACGAATACATTCTACACCCACTGTAGCGAAGATTGTTTCTTTATAAATGAATATATGTATACTGTCCTTCTTGAAACCAAACGATTTTTGTAAACAACAGCATTAGAGGAGATATTGAGGTTACTTCATTTTAGTGGGACATCCTGTATAGTAATGCAAGGCTCATGCTGAAATCTATTTGCCAACAAGCCAAGAACTCTGTTCAATTAATCGCCTTGATTAATTCGCGACTTCAAATTCTAATCCTGGTTATGACAAAATTATGAAAATCATTTTATTTTATACGCTACATTTTTACAACATTGATATTTCAAAACGTATTTTATAATTTTTGTCATCGCCCTAACGATACAAATTTGGGACGTCCAGCTTCAGAATTTTATTATTTTCGTCAGTACTCGGTATTAGAAAATATCTGCCGGTCGCGAATGTGTTAAGATTAAAAATTTAAGTTTCTGTATACAGGGTGTCCCAGAATTAGTGTGAAAACCAGAAATGGAGGATAGCCGAGATGATTTCGAACCATAATTTTCTTTGCAAAAATGATCGGACGGTGCTTCGTTTTTGAATTATCAGTGAAGAACCACCGACCAATCACAGCACCCGAGTAACACGCGCTCAGCCGCGAGAGGCTGGTTCGAGGCAAAACGCTCGGACCAGCGCGCGCTATTCGGGCGCTGTGATTGGTCGGTGGTTTTTCGTTAATAATTCAAAAACGAAGCATCATCCGACATTTTTACAATGGAAATTGTGGTTCAGAATTATCTCAGCTACACCCTGTATAACATACAATTTAAATACTTTTATTTAGTTTAAACAAGCATTAAGAAGAACAGAGGAAAACGAAAGAATTGGAAAAAACTTTTGATTCGCCCTAATATGACGGATGCGTCGTGTGATTTGTAAAAGGCTACGTGTGTCCAAGTCTACTTTCGCTGTTCTGTGCCTCCCCATTTCTCCTTTCTATGCTTCCATGGCGGCATTGTTAACCGGCAATCGATGGAAAATTAATTGAACACAGCGCAACACGTTAAGACATCGAAACTTGCCGTTTGTCTTTTTACACGATTCTCTAAAATCGAGGACACAGAAAATTTGGAAGCACGGGAACGCTAGATAATGATGTCGTGCGTTATATGTACGTGTGCGCGTCGATAGAGACACGGTGAGTAGAAAAGAAAATTGTCCAGAAACGAACAGGACTGGATTTAAAGGCAGTGTATATAAAGATAAACAAAGAATACTATCAAATAATATATTTTTTAGTTTATTGAGAGAATATATAAAATTAGAAAATGAAAGAGAACATTCTCTTAATTTTTATAACAAAGTGAAATATATATCATTTGAACAAGTACTAGTTTTGTAAAGAGACTTTTAATATCTCTCTGCTTACTTTGCAGATTAACGATAAGAGATAAACATTTCAAACGAAATTTAAATTCTAGAAGTGTGAGAAAGAACACTGTTCCGTTCGACTCGATAATTTCGATAGTTGTGTTATTACTAAATTATGTTTCAAGTAATCGGCATTGTTGGTGAACGTATCGAATTTAAAAATCCGCGAACCTGGTGAGAACAATTTGAACAAGAAAATTTGGAAACGCGAGCAAATCGAACATTTCCCCTACCAAACGTGACACGCTCCATATTTACAGTCGTGTAGTTTAAGGAAACTGTTTTTATCAGTGCTCAAACGCAAAGTTCGACCAAAGTCAATATTACGCATCCTGTTTCACGACACGTTGACGACTTCGAATAAATTCTTATGTGAATTGTCCTTCCGTTTAATCAATTTTTAGCAACGAAAGTACATTTCCTAAGCGTAAATGTTAAGTAAACCGACGAATTCTCAAACTCTCCTTTCTGAAGTCTCCAATGATTACATTTAAATACATGTTCCTTTACACAAGTTCCTTCAACCTAATATTGATTTTATATTCAATGTTATTAATTCGATTCATTTATTAACTTTCCAATGACCTCCGAGAATGGTTTCTAAGCTTTATGATCGTGTTATTAATCAAGTAGACGTACATTGCTATTTATTTTCTACTCGGTTGTTTCTATATCCAACGAGATTTAATAATAAAAGTGTAATTAATACGAGAGTAAGGATAAGCTCGACCATAAGCTCGAAGAAAACAAAATCATTTCTGGAGATCTCCATTGGAACGTTATGTGATCGATTTTACTGCATACATATCATTACAAATATTCATTACGTGTTTTTTAAGCACATGCAATTATGCGTTCGCAAACTTCCATAAATTTTGAACGTATCTCTTATCTCGCCTCTTTGACAAATGCATGGCGTTCTATTCCCTTCTAATGTCTAAGACACACTTAATTATACAATTAGTAAATAATTTAAATAATGCACTGTCGATATTTCATGGAATTTTTCTCATCCAACAAAAATGAAGGGAGAGTTTGAAATTCGTGCGATCATTATCACTTATCAGGGCTCATTATTACGTGGGAACAATAGATTGTGAAATATGTGCGACAGATTCAGGTATTTATTCGGTTTACCTTGGACATCGAGAATCATAAAATTATCGATCTAGTTCATCGGTATCGTTTTATTCGTAAATTTTATTACTCGTCTATTACGTGACGCCATTTTGGACCAATCAGTATGATAAAGCAGGGGCCATGACTTCGTCGTCCCAACATTGAATTTTTGCAATATTTACACATTTATAAGTATGTGTATAACAACATATATAATTATATTAGGTGGGCTAGAAAGTAGTGTCGTTTATTTTACATTAAATTCGAACAAATTTTTAATAAATTTCTATTTTGAATTAATAATATAATCGACCTCGTTATCAACAGCCTTTTCCCATCTAGTGAGCAAATTTTTAATGCCAGATCGATGAAAATCAATGAGTCGATGAATGATAACTTTACATTACTTTCCAGTCCACCTAATGTATCTATATGTACATACACGCCCACTCAGAAGTATGTGGACACTTCCTTAATGGAAATAAATATCTAATAAAAATTGCGAATCTATTGATATCGATTATATCATTTATGTTTCGATATGTTTTATTAATAGTTTTTTTTTTTAATATCACATTAATAACGATAAAAAACTACAGAATTTTGAATGTTAAAATTTCTTTTACCAAACTTGGACACTATTAACTTCTTCATTGTATTCGAAGTAATATTATCTCATTTGTTTCGTAATACTTCGACATAAATATTTTTTATATATTGAAGATTCTTTCAGAACTTTTCTATCTAAACAATCCCATAGTTCCACTATAAAATTGAATATATGGCAGTCAAAATATTCAATATTATCAAATGTTGTTAAATACACATCCAATATAGAATTTAGCAGGGAAAGTTGTGTAGTAATAATTTACGATGTAGATAAATTATTTATCGAAGGTAGCAAGTGCCCACATATTTATGAACTATGTGTATATACATTTAAACATATGCATGTATACATATATATAACAGGAATAGAATTTTGTTTTATCGAGGATAGACTAGCGCGTTTCTTTTTTCCAAACCTAATGGAAACTCACTTCAATTCGAATGTACGTTGTTTACACGAGATGTTTACTTTCACGTACAATTTATTATTCCATTTCATTCCATCGTTACAGAACGATACGATGCTCTCAAATTTCAGGGACCAAGTAAATAATTATAAAAATACAACGGAAAATTCATATTAGCTTCGTTGCTGAATATTTTTTAGCCACTACAGAGAGATCCACCTGGAGTACTCGTCCTTGTAAAATTTCATCGTCGCGTTGATACTTCTAACGACAAATTAGAATGGAGGGATGATATCGAAAAATAGATTCCATTTATTATTCGCATTTTTATTCATACTCGATTGTACTTAAATAATAAACGACGGTAAATGCACATCTCAAGTTGCTTCTATCTATCCTAAAATATCGTAAATTATATATTATACACAATGTATTCGATTAATAATAATATCATTATCGTTCGATTAAATTATAAATTCCTTGTGAAATCATAAATCATCCCTAACACGAGTGCAATATGCATTGCAAAGGTGAACATATCTTCTTCTAATATTTGTCAAGGGAATAATCTCTTAATCGTCTAATCTACAAACATTTTCGTTTGAAACCTCCAAGATTATCGTTTGGATATTTAATTAACTATGTGTCTGGTTGCGTAAAAGCAGGTACGTTTTATTTCCACTTCACAAACATGAAATTTTAATGGCGTATGGGAGAGATCAGGATGGCCAAGAAAAGTATGTGGGATTTATAAAAAATTTTCGTGACTTCTCTGTTCCAAAGTGTCCAACTACGAATCTTGTCGCACGTATTAATCCAACCTAAGTATATGACTAGTACACGACGTACGTATCTATAATAATCACATTATAGTATCTATAAAAGCAAATCGATAATGTAACCTTAGCTCTTACGATCGCCACGATTCTCGTATGTACATTATCATTGTTTCGCTCATTGATCTATCGCGAGCCTCGATGCTACGCTCTTGTACAAGGTGTTCGGTGTAAAGTGTTACGAAGCTGTAACGCTTTACACGAGACGTCCTGTACAATTATACGTTCCTCCCGAAACATTTATGTATATAATCATGAACAACGCGACCGTGCTGTGACACGATCGAGTCGGAAACCCGAACAATTTTCCCAATTTTATTGTATTAATCAAGGTTCGAAGACAACAGCACTGGCTTAATTATTTGCTCGGTAGAGAATCTTGAAATGTATTCAGTTGTCCAATTGAAACGACGATTCGTTGAATTGAAGCGATGAAAGAAAGAAATTGAGTGTAATAAACGATATACATCTATTTTTAGTAATACAGTTGTTTACTATATACGCTGAGAAACGAAATACAATAGATTTATTCAGACTGGAGACGAGCAAAATTTTATTCGAATAATGGATAACGAATGAAATAAATGTACAGGAATTCCATCGCGACGATTATTCGATTTAACAGTAAAATTTGTTATTCGCCCATTGCGAACTAATTCTGTAATTCAAATTCAAATTTTTACTCGATGAGTGATGTATAAAAAGTTGTTTAAATTTTATTCGTTACTCGAAACACGTATGTAGATAAGAATTTTGCTCATCCCTGGGTCAGACACTTGCTTAGCTGTACATTGATAATATAAGAGAAATGGATGTTGCTTGAATTTACTTAGGTAAATTGTTTCTG